TTCTCTTTACACAGTTGGTTTACATAGTTTTTTATGTGATTGTTATATTTGCCTTGGATTGAGGTTGGAAACACTTCTTGGAAGGACCCAAACACCTTGGCACCCTTTCCCCAGATGTTGTTAAATTTCATCCTGCATCAGACTTACGCCTTCCTCAGCAGAGCCAGAAGGCATGATGTGTTCCAACTGTGCCTCTAGGGCAGGTGTGGGCAAACCCAGGCCTGGGGGCCAGATGTGGCCCCTTGGGCTCTTTTCTCCAGCCCTCCTCTCTCACCATCCTATCCTTCCTTCCTTCTCTCTTTCCTTCTTCCTTCCCTCCCTCTTTCTCCTTCTCTTCCACCCTTTCGCCATTCCTTCCTACTCTTTCCTTCCCCCTTCTCTCCCTTCCTGACCTCCCCCTTTCTTCCTTCCTCTCCTTCCTTCTCTCTTTTCTCCCCTCCCCCTCTCTCCTCTCTCCATTCCTTTCCACCCTTCATCCTTCCTTCCTTCCTTCCTCCTTTCCTTCCACCTTTTCCTTCCCTCCCTTTTGTTTTTCCCTCCTTCCCTCCCTCTTTCACCTTCCATCCTTCCCTGTCACTCTTTCCCTTCCTTTCCCCTCTTTCCTTTCTCTCCCTCTCTCTTCCTTCCTTCTTCCTTTTTCCTTTTCCTTCTCTTCCTCCTCTTCCCTTTCCTCCTTCCTTTTTCCTTTCCTTCCTTTGTCTTCTTCCTTCTCTTTCCTCCCTCTCTCCCTTTCCTCTTCCATCCTTCCCTTCCCTTTCTCTTCCTTCTTTCCCTTTCTCTCTCTCCTCTTTCTCTTCCTTCCTTTTGTATTTCCTTCCTTCTCTCTTTTTCCTTCCTTCCCTCCCTTTCCTTCCCTTTCATCCTTCCTTGCCTTTTGTCTTTCCTTCCTTTCCTCTTTCCTCCTCCTTCCCTCTCTCCCTCTTTCTCCTTCCATCCTTCTCTCTCCCCTTTCTTCCTTCTTTTCTTCCTCCTTTCCTTTCATTTTTTCTTTCTTTCTTCTTCTCCTTTCTCCCTCTTTTCCTTCTCTTCCCTTCCTCCCTTTCATCCTTCCTTTTTTTCCCCCGTTATTAACCCATTGCTTCGCTTAGTTTTATCCACACATTCCTCTTCTGTCTTAGGCTGGATCTACATTGGCAAATAATGCAGCTTGAAGTGCATTATATGGTCAGTGTAGAGCCATATATTGTACTGCATTAGATGACTCTACCCTGGCCATAAAATCCGCTTCAAGCTGCATTATTTGCCATTGTAGTTCCAGTCTTAGTAAGATGCATATTCCATCTGAAAGGCTGCCTCCATCCACATGAACCTGCCCCAGACTTGTGGTCCTTAAGGCCCTTGTCATGCATCCAAACACCTTGCAAGTGTGTGAAAGACTACAGTTCTTATGTGAAGGTACCCACAATGCTTTGCTTCTCACTGTCTTTTCAGGACGTGGACAGTGATGATGAAGATATCCCTGCTGACTTTGTGGGCCAAGGAGGGATGTTCGAAATGACGGCCCACCCTGCAACATTAGTAAACCAAGATGGGGAGTTCCATGGAGCCGTCAATGGTCTTGACATCACCACATATGCCGAATCCAACCTGGTGGCAGAGCCGCAGAAGGCAAGTCTTGAGGAAAAATTATTCTTGTTAGGCCTCTTCAGCTTATTTATTTATTTATTTATTTATTTATTATACTTCTGCCCCGCCCTTCTCAACCCCCGAGGGGGGACTCAGGGCAGCTTACAAAATGGCGCAATTCGATGCCTACACAATAATACAATAAACGTATAAAAACAGCAGTTAAACAGTTAAACAATTAAAACAACAATATATATCACAGTCAATAAGCCAATCTCATGCACAGCGTTCGCCAACTCAGAGTCTGTACTTCGTTCCACATTGTCTATTCCTATCCGTCGTCGCAGTCCTTTATTTATCTGCCAGATTGCCCAAACGCCTGGTCCCACATCCATGTTTTTAATTTCCTTCTAAAGGAAAGGAGGGATTTCGCTGATCTAATTTCCCCGGGGAGTGAATTCCATAGGTGAGGGGCCACCACTGAGAAGGCCCTGCTCCTCGTCCCCGCCAATCTCACTTGTGATAGAGGTGGGGCCGAGAGCAGGGCCTCCCCAGAAGATCTTAAACTCCGAGGTGGGACGTAGAGGGAGATGCGTTCGGACAGATACGCTGGGCCGGAACCGTATAGGGTTTTGTAGGTCAAAACCAGCACTTTGAATTGTGCTCGGAACTGGATCGGCAGCCAGTGGAGCTGAGACAACAGGGGGGTGGTATGCTCCCTGTATGACGCTCCGGTGAGTAATCTGGCTGCCGCCCGCTGGACTAATTGAAGTTTCCGAACAGTCTTCAAAGGCAACCCCACGTAGAGTGCGTTGCAGTATTTATTTATTTATTTGATTCACTTATTAACCGCCATTCTCAGCCTATACAGGCGACTCATGGCGGTGTACAATACACATATAAAAGACAGATTACAAAACCAGTATCGACGACATATAACCTTACAACAATTACAGACTACATAAAAATCCGCTTCGTCTCTTAGTGGGATCATAGCCAATCTCATCATCCTTGTACCATTCCAGTTCTCATTACCGTGTTATTTGTTGCTTAGCACTTAATTAAATGTCAAACAGCCAGGTCTGGGAAAAAAAAAATGGCGCGAAAGAATCCAAAGTAGCGTGGAAGGGTGGTACTCGAGCGAAAAGAAAAAAAAAAAAAAAAAAAAAAAAAAAAAAAAAAGGGGGAAAAAAGGGGGGAGGGGAAAGAAGGGGGGAGAAAGAGAAGAAGGGAAAGAGGGGGGGGGGGGAGGGGGGGGGGGGGGGGAGGGGAAGGGGGGGGGAAGGA